AAGGGGGACTTCATCACCGCCGTTGCCAACTTCTTCGCCGAACATCACCGGGACAACGTAGGCAAGGACAAGTCAGTGCAGAGACAGCAGTGAGCAGAATGGTGTGACTGTGTAGCAGATGGGCTTATTTACAGATATATCAAATGAAAGGAGGAGAGGAGTGTCGAGCAGGTCTTGTTAGAATCAGGCTGCGCCTCGTCGCTGCCAAACTTGCTGGGTGCTCATCTGAAAATCTGGTCAGAGAAGTGGAAAGCCAAGCCCGAAGGAAAGGTGGGCCAAGGCTCATCTCGAAGCCCAGAATACAGCATGAATTGCCCAGCATATGTCGTGTCCCCTCCAACCCATCCAGCAGTCTTGGCAAAGATTTCGAGTACGTTCAAGATGCGCACATGCATGCCATGCGGATTCCATCCCAGACATTTCAGGTTATGCAGCGAACAAGCATTGGAGATTATGGCCAGGTTGTTCACAGTCATGGACATGATAGGAGCAGCCCCGTCGCCCATCCAGCAGCTTCAGATCCTTCTCGCGCCGGAGCACAATGGGGGAGTTTTTTTTTTTTTTTTTTTTTCTTTTTTTTTGGGGGGGGTTGTTTTTTTCTGTTTGTTTTAAAGACAATACAAATCCTGGCTTCGAACGTATCCATGGGAAACTCATGTCCAGGAAGTGCAGATCATGGGAAGCTTCTTCAGGACTGGCTCCACAGTTTTCGGCGTCCCAGGCTAGGGGCCCAGATGGCACAGTTTGGAGACGGTCAGCTCGTGCAGAACTTGCAGCATCAGGCAAAGCGCACTACATATCATTATTATGGGATCCCAAGTCTTTCTACGAGACCCTCGACCATGCCATCATCTATGATCATGCTCATCAGGCTAACTACCCCTTAGATGTAGTGGTATATTCATTACATGCATATGAATGGCCAAGGCGTCTGATGCTAGAAGGATCGATTCCAGACGAGGTGTACCCCGCGCAAGGTATTGTGGCAGGGGCCTCTCCAGCCACGTACGAGGCCAAGCTCTACATGTACCCGCTGATCACCTCAACCCTCTCGCCCAATGCAGCTAGCAGTATGCGCATTGACGATCTCACTCTCTCTGCTTGGGCTGATTCCAAGGTGTATTGTCTCGAGTCATTTGTAACGTTCGTGCTCCAGATCAAGGAAGGAATCGATGAGCTGGCCCTTGCCTTGGCATGCCCCAAAATCGCCCTGGTAGCCTCCTCCGCGGATTTGCTCAACAGAGGAAAGAAGCTCTTCGGATACTTGGGAAGGGGCAGCAAGTTGGGGTGCAGCCAATCTGGGCTTTGATTTTACGGCGGGCAAACACAAAACACATAAATCAGCATGTGTAACAATACATAAAAGATGGCCCCAGCTAACAGCCCGTGTCAACAGAACTCGTCGTTTAAAGGGCAGCAAAATAAAGAAGACACGAAGCATATTGTTTGTTGTAGGAGCCAAGTCTACCATGCATTACGGAGCTGCATCCCATGGATTCACGCCAAGTGAAATCTGGCGACTACGAGGACTTGCAGCGTCTGTCTCCCCCCCCACCACTGCAAGCGAGCCGAAATGAACATGTGGTGGGCTTCGGTGGCAGACAATGACCCGCTGAACATGATAGGCGCGTCTTTGGAACGTTGGTGTCTAGAATGGTGGTCGGCAACTTCCACCAGACCTGAGCTTAGGGCCCACCGCGATAAATTATCTGCAAAGGAGCTAGCATGTCTGTTTAACGTCGCCAAAGCTGGACTCGCCAATTCGAAGTTCAGGACTTGGCTTGCCAAGTCGTGCGGCCCTGTTTCCCAGATGCTCCTTTGGATTAAGCAGGCAGGCTGGCAATCACCAGATGCAACCCATCTAATTGACAGATAGGGGTGCGCTTTCAACGTGCTTGAATTTTCCCCGCGTTGGATCTCCAAAGAGTTTGTCTGGCAGTATAAGGACAAACTGATCCGGGAAAATGTCACTTCCAAGTTTCCCCCTGAGTCCCCAGTTGCACAGCAAGGACCCTGGTGGGACCTGTTTATCCCCACGCTTAGGAAGGTCTCCAAACATCTGAGTTTCCAGGAGGCCAGATGTGTCAGACATTTATTTTGCGGCTTTCTGACAACAGGCCAAACACTTGCCAAGTGGGGCTATCAGTTTGACGGATTATGCCCTTACTGCCAGCAGTTAGACACACCCTACCATCGAATCTGGCTCTGCCCCCATGCCGAGGAGGTACGCCAGGAGTTTCTTGCAGACCTCATTGAACCAGCCAGAGCAGCAGGTGAGGAATGACTTCTATTTAACAGGCTGTGGGTCCCGAGAGCCATAGTAGACCCACCAGTGGAAGACCTCCTCCCACAACATATTGGACCAGACGGTCCTTGTAATCCAGAGTTAATGGCAGCGAACTTGCCCATGTATGTTGATGGCAGCTGCCTAAGTCCATCCATGCCTCGCATTTCGAGAGCAGGATCTACAGCAGTCCAGACAGACAGCGAAGGCAATTTTATACGAGCTGTCAGAGCACCCTCGCTACGACAGTATCCTCAAATGTCAGGGCATGCGGAGCACTTAGGACTTTTACTAGCGGCGCAGTGGTCGGAACATCCACGGACCGCACCCATAATTGTAGACTACTCTGGCTTAACGAAAGGATTTTTAAAACCCGAAGCAGTGCTCCAAGGGACCAGCATCTTTGCCACCTTTTGGCGCAAACTTGCATCCTACCTCCCTTCCGATTCATGGCTTGAATTGCGCAAGACCAAGGCGCATCGCAAGACAGAAAAGCAGCATATTCTATAATTGCTTTGGACATCCAAGGCAACAAAGCTGCAGATTACCACGTAGGTGAAGCAGCTAAACTGCATGCTTTACATGCAAATGAAGTGGAGGAGCATGAGGCCGCCATGCAATTATTTAAGTCCCTTGTCCTAGGTGCAGGAAAGGTCCTTGCGCTCTGGCCCCCAGCCAAGGAACTGTGGCCAGACGTCGCGAAGCCAGCGCCGCAGAGAGCAGGTCGCCCTTTTGTCCAGGACCATGACCCAGTGTGGAATGGATCAGTTTTCAGATGCAGATCATGCTTGAAAGTAGTAAGCGCTCGCGCCCGCGCATCTTGCAAACCAGTGCCAAACAAGATCAGATACATGGCAGCCGAAGCCAGAGGCCGCCACCATAAGATTGTGTATTGTACTACAATTGGCAGCAAGCTCCCGTTAATATTCTGTAGTGAGTGCGGAGGGTTCACCTCGGGCAGAGGCTCTCCGAAGTGGCTAGACAATTGCACCCGTGATATGTCCTCTGAATTGAGAAAGTTCCAGAAGCAGGAGCTCCCAGGATCTGGAGGCATCAGAATTTCAGACCCTGTCCAGTTTGATTTCTAGCTTGCTTTGTTGTTTGCTTGCCTTTCTCGAGGGGGGGGGGGGGCGTGGCGCCCATGCGGGTGGGCGCGATCCCTCAAAAGGCGACGGAGCGTGCCTCCCCTCGTTTTTTTTTTTTTTTTTTTTTTTTTTGTTGGGGGGGGGGTTTTTTTTTTTTTTTTTTTTTTTTTTTTTTTTTTTTTTTTTTTTTTTTTTTTTTTTTTGTTGTTTTTTTTGTTGTTTGTTTTGGTGTGTGTGGTGTGTGTGGTGTTGTGGTGTGTGTGTGTGGTGTGTGTTGTGTTGTTGTGTGGTGTGTGTGTGTGTGTGTGTGTGTGTGTGTGTGTGTGTGTGTTGTTTATTGGTTTGTTTATGTTGTTGCCTCGGGGGCGCTGAAGCGTGCCGGATGTCAGTGCTGATAGTCAGATGCGCTGAACGTCCGCGCCGAAACGTCGGGGCGGGGTCTAGAGAGAGTGTAGGCTTGTTTTCTCATGTTTCCCCACCCCCGCCGCAGCTTCTCTGCATCGAGCGCCCCGAGAGCTCCAAGTATGATTTGCAAATGCCAGCGCCACCACCAATGTGGAGGGTGGATTCACCGTTGGGGAGCGCAGCAGAAACCCAGCATGTTGTGCTCTAAGATTCGCGATGGGGCCAAGTGCAACGGGACGTGGCTCACCCCTGACCAGCTCAATGCTCGTGATAGTGAGATCGGTCCCCCGTGGCCGCCAAGTGAGCCGCCACCTCAGCTGCCATTGCAAGCGAAGCCTGCTGTTCGTCTCTTGCCAAGTGTGGTCGCTAAGAAGCGCCCTGCACCGAAGCCCAGCGCGAATCCTGCCGTGCTGCCAACTCCATCCAGCTCTTCCTCCAGTGCCTCTGCCCCAGTTGTGCTGGATCCAGATCCTCCCGAGTCAGAGTCAGACCCGCTCAAGCGGGCCCTTGACCAGGTTGATTATATGCGTGGCAGGATCGTCGATCTCAATACTCAGAATTTAGAGCTGATGATGGAGATTGATGCCCTCAAGAGGCGTGAGGCGGAGTAGGAGCTGAGGCCTCGAGTCTCGTGGTTTATCGTGAGCACGACTGCATCTCATCCTGTCTCAACGAGGACCCAGCTCCAACTCCTATACTTTGAAGGGCATGCAGCGCTGCCATCCACCTCCTTGTAAGGGGTCCAAGTCGTCTGGTTCACTTAATGTCGGGTGTTTTCTTGGACCCCTTACCTCCCCTCCCCCCCCCCCCCGCGCCCCGCCGTGCGACGACGCCTTCCTGGTGCAGTCGTTGCCGAAGGGCTAGGCGGGTTTTCTCGGGGGGGAGGCAGCAGCAGCAGCAGCAGCAGCAGCAGGATGATCCAAGGTGGATGTCCCTCTTCTTTTTCTTTTCTTTAGTGGCCAGTGTGCTTGCACGGTGGACCACTGTCGCTTCTGTAATCTGTAATCTGAGGAGGAGGAAGTGGAGGAGGAGGAGGAGGAGGATGGGCAGAGGAGGAGGAGGAGGAGGAGGAGGGGGAGGAGGAGGAGGGGGAGGAGGAGGAGGAGGAGGAGGAGGAGGAGGAGGAGGAGGAGGAGGAGGAGCGGCAGCGACACCGATGGTGGCGTCCGTAGCAGCAGGTTCCGTGCGGGCAGAAGCTCAGCAAGTCGAGATGCGGCCGACGCCAGGTTACCGAGGGCCTCTCGGTGCAGGACTGGTCCCGCGCGGCCTTTGCCCTCTGCATGGCTGGGCTCTACGACTTCGGTGGGCTCGCGCCGCTGCGCGCAGGGGTGCCGGCGCGGGGGGGCACATGGCGTGCGTGCGCAAGGATGCATGATTTTTTTACGCTCGTTTGTTCTCTTCAAGGGGCTTATGCTTTTCAGCCGACCCCCAGCGGAGTAGAGACGTCCAGGGCGTTCGGTCGGCTATGCTGGAGCTGGAGTGTTTGGGTATTTTTTTCACGCTCGCGAGGGTTCAACTCTCAGGGGCCTCTTAGAGGGCTTTTGGGGGCATCTGGTTGGCTTTTGGGGGGCTCTTGGCGGCCCTTGGGAGCCTCGAAGGGGCTACTTGGAGGCCTCTTGGCGGCTTCTTTGGGGCGCCTTGGGGGGCTTCTGGGGACATGGGGGCACCTTCTGAGGCCCTTGGGCCGTACTCGATGCTGTCAAGATGAGACATGCGAGTATGCCCCAAATGCGCGCCTTCCCTATGGGAATGGGGCGATTTTTGCGCCTTGCGGCCCTCTCGGCAGTCTTCTGGGAACACTCTTCCGAGGGGCTTCGTGGGCTGTCTTCAAGCCATCTTGGACCGTCGCGGGGTTACCTCCACGCGAAAACGCGAAGCGTTTCTAGCGCGAGAAAATAACGAGGGTGGTCGATGCGATGCTCCGCTTGGCTCCTCGGTCGCTCTTGTCCTCTTCCGCTTTGCCAGTGTGCTTCTGCGCATAAGGAAGGCACGATAAAGGCCAGTGCAGTCCTAAAAGAGATATTTCTCGACTGTCTGTTTGAGGAGGGATTGTCGCATGCGCGGGCACGTGCTTAGTCGCCCAGCGCTCCTTAGTGAAGTGGCGGTGTTGATCCTGTCAGTCCGTCCGTTTGTCTGTTTGTTTGTCTGCTCGTCTGTCTGTCTGTCTGTTTGTTTGTCTGTTTGTCTGTCTGTCTCTGCCCGTCTGGTCGTCGTCTGTCGGCTCCCGTAGGCTTGGTGCGGCCAGGATCTTCCCGGCCGCACCCTCCGTACACACGCGTCGGTCCGACCACCCCCACGCAAGAACCCACCACGGCCCCACCCCGCGCCGCCCCCAGCGAAGGCTCGCAACACCACCCCCCCACCCAACCTGCACACACCCGCAACCCCCCGCCACCCCCCCCCCGAACACGCCGGCCCCCTCACCTCCCCCATCGCCCGCCCGGGCAGCTGCACCCTCCGACCCCGCCGTCTCTTCCCGGGAGGCGACACTCCAACCCGCCCCCGCCCCGCTCTCCCCGCCACCGAATTCAACAGGCACGTGCGCTGGTCGCTGTCGATAGACCCTCGCGTCGCGCTGCTGGGGACTTCGCATGGAGGTGGCCAGCGGTGCTCTCTGCGAGCGTTCCGGCCCCCCCGCCCCCATGCATAGAAATGCCGCAACGGCGCTCTCACCTGCGGCACCCGTGCCGCAAGGGCACTTCCTCCTGGGTCCCTGCCGCAAGGTCGAACCCGTGCCGCATGCCGCAAGGGCAAACCCATGCCGTAAGGGCACTCTTCCTCTGGGTCCCTGCCGCAAGGGCGAACCCATGCCGCAAGGGCATTCTTCTTGGGTCCCTGCCGCAGGCTAAAACCCCCATGCTGCAAGGGTATTATTCCTGGGTCGCTTGCGTCGGGGCAAACCCATGTCACAAAGGCATTCTCCCGGGTCCCTGCCCCAAGGGCGAGCTTCCACGCCGCAACGACTTTCTTCTCGAGTCCGTGCCGCAAGGGCGAACCCATGCCGCCAGGGCATTATCCCTGGGTGCCTGCCGCAAAGGCCTTCTCCCTTCTCCCCGGGTCCCAGTCGCAAGGGCAAACCCATGCCGCAAGAGCATTATTCCTGGGTCCCTGCCGCAAGGGCGGACCTCCACGCCGCAAGGGCTTTCCTCTGGGGTCCGTGGCGCAAGGACATCCTCCTTCGTCCTGGGTTCGTGGCGCGGTGGCGCGCCCGTGCCGCAGTTGTAGTCTGCGGGCGCCGTATTGGCGCCCTCATTTGTTGGCCGTTCGCGCGACCCCAGAGATCCGTCGCCAAAAAGACTCAAAGGTAAAAAAAGGTAAAACATACTAAAAAAATAGTCCCCAGACTATTTTTGGACCATCTTTTGATTATTTTTGGGGTATTTTTTTGTTTTTTTGTCGAAAATCCCCCTGTAGGGGGACAAGCCCGACTTAACACCACCACCTCCCTCACCCTCTCCCTCTCCCAGGAAAGAGAAAGCAAGACGAGGCTGGAGGAGGGAGGAGGTGGTGGTGGTGGTGGTGGTGTAGGTTCTTAGGGCCCGCAGCCGCGGCGCTCAAACGTGGTGCTCTTGGGTCTGCTGCTCGGCTGTCCAGAATGCCAGGGCCCTGTCCTGGCGTACTGCCGGCCCGGAGAGAGGCTCGCCCCGTAGCTTCCAGGCCTCCCAGATGGGGGTCCGAGTGGAGGTGGGTGGGGTCGGAGGACCGCGCCGCATCGCCGATGCATCGCCGATGCGGTTCGATGCGGAATCCGAGTTTCTCCACGCCGATGGCGCCGAAGCATCGCCGACGTCGCCGATGCATCGCCAGTTCATCGGCGATGTATCGGCGATGTATCGGCGATGCGGCGCGATCCTCCGACCCCATCTACTCGGACCCCCTCTAGGAGGCCTCCAGTAGCCGGATGGCCCAGCGGCGTTGCTGACAGCCCAGATGGGCTTTTCCCAGGGCTGGCTGGCTGCTCCCCTGGCCAGTTTGCCCGGCGGTGCCCCCCGCTGATTCCGTTGTGCTCGCTTGTGCTGGGCACGGCGCTTGGGGCCTCAGTCCGTGCCCGAGCTCTTGGTTGGGCGATTCGGGCGTCGTTTCGTGAGGGCGGCGTGGCGTGGCTGGCTGCTCCCCTGGCCAGTTTGCCCGGCGGTGCCCCCCGCTGATTCCGTTGTGCTCGCTTGTGCTGGGCACGGCGCTTGGGGCCTCAGTCCGTGCCCGAGCTCTTGGTTGGGCGATTCGGGCGTCGTTTCGTGAGGGCGGCGTGGCGTAGTTCGCCACCGCCGCCCGAGCGGGCGGCTCGAGCGCAGCTCGGCGCCCCCGTGGTCCACGATAGGCCGTCTGGACGGCGCCGTTGGCGCCAGTTCGCCCGCATGGGTGTGTGTTGGGAGCAGTTCCGCACGTGTGCGCCCGAATGGGCGACTGGAGGCGTTTCTTCAAGTCGACGCGTCTGGTGGCGCAGTTTGGGGCCGTTGCTCTCTGGCGCGCCCGAGCGGGCGATCTCGGTGCAGCTCCGCGCCCGCTCGCCCAGACGGGTGAGTGGGGTGCTATCTCGCGCCCGCGCGTCCGAATGGGCGTTTGAGCTCGATTCCAAGTCTGCGCGCCCAGATGGGCGATTCGGGCGTCATTTCGCGCGTCGCGTCCGAATGGGCGGTTTGTGCGCGATGCTGCGCCTGGATGGGTGATTCGGGCATCATTTCGCGCCTGCGTGTCCGAATGGGCGGTTGGTGCGCGATGCTGCGCCCGGATGGGCGATTCGGGCGTCGTTTCGCGCCCCCGCGTCCGAACGGGCGGTTGGTGCGCGACGCTGCGCCCAGATAGGCGGCGATTCGCACGTCGTTTCGCGCCTGCGCGTCCAGATGGGCGGACTGGGGGCGATGCCGCATGTCGCCCAGATGGGAGTCATTCCGCGCCGGCGCGCCCCAAATTCAGCTACACATGCGGGTTTGAAGCTTGCGCGCCCGGGATAGCGGTTTGGGGCGCTTCTCGCGCCCGGGCGCCCGAACGGGTGATTTGAGCGCGTTTCCGCGCCTGCGCGCCCAGATGGGCGGTTTGGGAATCCTTTCCCGCCTGCGCACCTGGAAGGGCGCTTGGAGGGCGCTCCTGCGCCTGCGCGCCGGGATGGGTTGTTCGGGCGTCGTTGCCTGCGCGTCCGAACGGGCGGGTTGAGCGCGATGCCACGTTTCGCCCAGATGGGCGTCATTCTGCTGGCGCGCCCCAAAGCAGATCATATTCATGCGGGTTCTGAGCTTGCGCGCGCGGGATAGCAGTTTGGGGCGCTTCTCACGCCTGCGCGCCCAGATGGGCGGCTTGCCGTCTGTGCGCTTGCATGGGCTTGGAGCGCCCTTCGCGCCTGCGCGCCAGCGCGTTCGAAACGGTGTGTGCGCGATTCGGCGTCTGCGCGCCCACGTGGGTGATTCGGGCGTCGTTTCGCGCTGGCGCCTCCGAGCCAGCGCCACCAGGTGTCTGTGCCTGCGCGCCCGAATGGGCGATTTGGGTGTCATTTCGCGCCTCTGCGTCTGAGTGGGCGTTTTGAGCGCGATGCGGCGTCTGCGCGCCCAGATGCATGTTTTGGGAGTCTTTTCGGCCCACCGCGTCCGAGTGGGCGGCTTGAGCGCGATGCCGCGTTTGCGCTGGACGGGCGATGTGGGAGTCATCGCGCCCGCGCGCCCAGGTTGGCGGTCTGGGCCGCCCCTTCGCGCCTGCGCGCCCGAAGGGGTGCCTTTTGAGCGCGCTGCTGTGCCCGTCTGCTCGGCTTGGGCTTGGGCTTGCGCCGTGGGCCCCCAGCAAGGCGGTCGAAGCGGGAGTTGCGCTCGTGCGCCCTAGTGGGTGGCTTAGGGTTTGGGCCTCGTTGCGCGTCTGCGTGCCCGCGTGGGCCTGGAGGGCCATTGGCGACAGGTTCGCGCTTGCGCATCCGTGGCAGTGAAGAGGGCCTCACTCTGCTATGCTGCTCAGCAGCTGCTGTGCATATTCACGTCTGTGCACTTGGGAACCGGCGCGTTCGTCAGGCATGGTCCGACGGCGCAGCTGCTGAACTGGACTCTGGGTGCATTGGGGCCAGGGTGGCCTGCCCCGAAGACCTGTCCAGCACCGGACGCCACGTCTTCCCAATTCTTTTGCGGAAGGACGGCATTTTTTTCGCGCGAAAGCGCGAAGCGTTTTCAGTGAGAGAAAACAACGCGGGCGGTCGATGCGATGTTCCGCTTGGACCCTCGGTCGCTCTTGTCCTTGTCCGCTTTGCCAGGGTGCTTCTGGGCACAGGGAATGCTAGTACAGTCCTAAAAGTGATCTTTCTTGATTGTCTGCTTGGGGAGGGATTGTCACGTGCGTGGGCACGTACTTACTCGCCTTGCGCTCCTCAGTGGAGTGGCGGTGTTTGTCCTGTCAGTCCGTCCGTCTGTCTGTCTGTTTGTCTGCTTGTCTGTCTGTCTCTGTCTGTCTGGTCGTCGTCTGTCGTCTCCCGTGGGCTTGCCGTGGTCAGGATCTGCAGACACTTGCCCTGGTCGGTGTCGGCAGACCTCGCGTCGCGCTTCTGCTGCGTTTGTGTTCGCGCCCTCCCTCCACGCTGTTGGAGCGGCGAATCAGAGCGTCCTGCTGGACTGGTTTCCTGGGGGCCAGTGTTGCCGGCCGAGATGTCCCGTCCAGCAGCGGACGACACGTCTTCCCATTGCTTCTGGCGGAAGGACGTCCTGAAGCATTCTTCCCTGGGTCGTCTCGACGCTCTGTTACGCTGTCTCGGCGCCATGTTCGGCCCTGTTATTCCGTTTTGGGGCTCCCTGGAGGCTCTGGAGAGTCCCCGGGGTGCGTCGAGGAGCTCGCCCCCCTCCCCCTCGCCCTAGAACAGGATTTCGGACCCCTGTGGATCGGGCGAAGAGAACTATGCACATGCACCGCTCCTGGCAAGGCCCATCCTTGACCCAGGATCGGTGCATATGCCTTCCTGGCCAAGGTAGGAGGGCGTATGCACCGATCCTGGGCTCAGGATGGGCCTGGCCAGAATCGGTGCATGTGCATAGTTCTCTTTCCTCTAGTGGAGGGAGAAGGGGGGGGAGGGGGACAATCCAATGTCTCACACGCCTTGTCACACCGGGCAAGCGGGGGTCGCAGGACCCCTCTCTCTCTCTCTCTCTTCGGGAACGGAGGGGACGGAGGGAGGGAGGGAGAGGGACTAAAACAGGTAAGGGCAGACGGAAGAGATAGAGGGAGTGGTGATGGAGACATGGCGTACGTGATACACCGGGAGATCCCCACAACGAGTAACTACGTGACTGGTTGGGTGGTTCGCTGGGTGCATACAGATGTCACTACCGTACACCTTCCACCATTCCTTGCTGATCTCCCTTCCCTGTTCCCCCCTTTCCCTCCTCCACCCTCCCTCTTCTCTCCGCCTTCCCTCTCCCTTTTCCCTCCTCCCTCCTCCCTCCTCCCTCCCATTGTCTCTTCTGCCTCCTCAAACTCGCCTTCTCCCTCCTTTTTATCCGCCTCCTCTCCATTGGAAGTTCGCGCAACACTACAGCTCTGTCTGTCCATGCGGAAGTGCTAACACACCACGATCAGCGCTCGTGGCGGACTTGCGTCTAGGAGTCGTTGCGACGTTGACCTTTCTTGCACTGGAGCCTACTTGAGCGTGCGCGAAGGGCGCGCGTGGCTTCAGTCTCTGTAGAAGGACAGGTGCCCCGCTCCGAAGATACATCGATGCTGAGTATTGACTCCAGTTCGGGTCCGAAGAATGGGCGGGATTCCGATTCTGCTCCGATCCGAAGCTCGTTTTCCCGATTCTGCCGGGTCTGCTTTTTCGCCGATCCCGCTTCGAGCTTCCGAGCCGATGGTACGTTTCGTTGAACCTATCCTCATGCCCACCTGGCCATGGCATCTCAGCCCCACGTCCCCACCACCCCAGCTGGGGATATAGGCCCCCCGAAATCAGAAGTGAACAGCCTATATCCCCATCCATGGGGGCAGCTCGGCCAGTGGGGCCCAGGCCACGCCCAGACCGCGCCACGGTGGAACGATGCTCAAATGCAGGGTGGGTTACGTTGCATCTTCGGGGGACCTCGCCTGTCCCCAAAATTGGTGTCCTTTCTTGTGCCCGACGCGGGCTCGATGCGGACTCGACGCAGATTTGGCGTGGATTCGACGCGGATTCGACACGGATTCGACACGGATCCGACGAGGCCGACATGGGTTCGACACGGATTCGACGCGGATAGGGCCGCGACGGGAGAGACAAGGTCCCCCTATGATGCAACACAAGGTGGGTCTGTGGATTCGCTGCAGGCTGTCGCTGTGGAGCGCCCCGCAGGTGGCAAGACCGGCACCTTCCTGCTCCCGCTGGTGGTGGCGCGCGCGTGCGAGCAGGCCCGCCGGGCCCCTGCGACGCGCGGCACCTGGGCGCTTCCACGAGGAGGGGTGGAGGCGGAGGAGGAGGAGGATGAGGAGGAGGAGGAGGAGGAGGGAGGAGGGGGGGAGGAGGGGGAGGAGAAGGAGGAGGAGAGGGAGGAGGAGGAGGAGGAGGAGGAGGAGGAGGAGGAGGAGGAGGAGGAGGATGAGAAGGGAGGAGGAGGAGGGAGAAGGATGGGATGATATGATGATGATGATGATGATGATGATGATGATGATGATGCGATGATGATGATGATGATGATGATGATGATGATGATGATGATGATGATGATGATGATGATGATGGTGATGATGATGATGCTGCTGCTGCTGCTGCTGCTGATGATTTTGATGATGATGGT